TTGTTTTATATTAATATGGATACTGGCTTTGCCAATGCATTATGATTTTATGGCCTTTATAGCTTCTACATGTTTGCTGCCTTTACTTGTTTGATTTATCTGGTGCCATAAATGCCAAGCAAAGAATGTTAGAGAAGTATATTTCTTTTTGTCACCCCCTCTCCTGAATCTCACCAGTGTTAAATTTGGCCTATAGAAGCCAGTGTCTTTTCTTTGGAGATATTATCCCATATACTTAATTCAATTATATTTTTGTACTGCCAAATTTATGCAAATGTTACTACCTCTGTCACAATACCAAAGATGTACTGTATGAAGGGAGCTGGGAACCATATTTTTCTTCCTAATAATTTGTTTTGATGAACATCCTAACCTAATCTAACATGGAGGATTGTCGTAGTCTTGTCATGTAATTATTTTTTTTCAGAGAAAAGATGGAATTGAAAAAAAGATGAAAGACAAAGAACTCAATTTTGATATCATTATCAACAACCATTGCCAATATACCCCACAGATTGATGCTCACTGTAGCCTCCCTGGTCAAGAGTGAAGGCATCACTGTGATACCTAACTTTGCGTAATTATGGGATACCTAGCAGGAGTGGAAGATACTAGGTGAATCTGACTGCTCCCCGATCTTTCTTATAAAGCGCTTCGATTAGTTTAGTTGCTGACTAGTTTAAATAAGTAGTATGAATCCGATCTATTGGTTCTTACATGTATAGACTGGACCAACCCCTCAAATTGTTTTTAATCATTATACACTGCCCAGAGTCAGTTTGTGTGAGATGGGGGGGCTATATGAATATAATATATAAATAAAATAAAATAAATATTATAATTGAAAGGAAGGGCAAACTAGATATCATATTCTGAATTAAATGGATTATAGCAGATCATGTACCTCTCTCTTCAGAGTCATAACTCAGATTTACCAGCACATCCTGGCTTTAGTATTTGCTGTCAGAGATCAATACTAATCACCAGATATTACCCAATATAACACTCGGCTTTCAAATCTATAACAGTCATTTCACTTCAAAATGGGTATATCATGACTCAATGGAACTCCTTTCCTCTAAAGGCAGATTAATTCCTAACTACAACTGTGACATCCAGAAATATCCAGTAGCAATAATTGGAGGACCTGACACTGATGTATGTCTTCACGTGGCCATCATTCTGCAGATCTATAAGTTTCCTCAGGTAACCATGCATGTGGAGTATGGATGCAATCCAATTAAGTATCTCATTTTTTAATCTAAGATTTGATCACTTGGAACAGGTAAACACTGACTGAAATTAAGAGGCATATTTTTCTTTCAACCTGATTTTGAAATCTATGAACCACACCTGTTAATGGCTGCTCTTTCTTCAATTGCTTGGGTAATAATATATGGATGGACAGCCTCATGCAAATTAACTGGGCCTAGAAAGCTCCTGTTGTAGCAAATGTTACTGGCTGCATTCACAGAACATACTTAATAACTAAATTAGCCCTTTTCTGAGAGCCTAGAATAGACGGAGACAAATGTCTGTGTTTATACAGCCTAGGAAGACACAAGGAAGCATAAGCAAGATTAAGACAAGCAAAGATTGATGAATTGTGCAAAATGACCATTAAACTCTTATGCTTGGAGCACAACTGCCAAATGTAAAAGTGGTAATATGAAATGGACCTAAACCTTTGCTTGTGCACTACAGTTACAAAACTATATATCAATACACTTTTTAAAAAATCAAAGCCTATTTTCTCCTTTCCTAATTCATCTGTATTTTCTATAGTTGACGTATGGCTCTGCTCCAATAACAAATAAGGACAAACAGGCTGGTTTCTATCACCAAATGTTTCCAAATGTGGACCATCAGTATAAAGGAATTCTTCAGCTGCTGCAGCATTTTAAGTGGACCTGGACAGGGGTCTTGTCTGCGAATAATGAAAATGGGGAGATGTTTGTACAAAATATGGTACCAATGTTTGCCCAGAGCGGGATCTGCTTTGATTTCATTGAAAGATTCCCAATCATTACTTATTCCACTGACATTGTCAATATGGTGAAAGAAGGGATGAAAATGTACACTGTTGTAATCAACAGCACTGTCAATTCAGTCTTAGTGCAAGGTGAAATTATTGTAATGATAATTTTGAGAATGTTTCCGACTCTGTCAGAATTTGAAGAGATACCATTACAAGGAAATGGTAAAATTCTGATTATGACAGCCCAGATGG